TGACATCCATTTTGGTCTTTTCTTCCTCTTCTGTCTTTGCAATGACCGTTTGCACTCTTCCTGGATGATACCCTTGATATCCTCCCACAACTCATCTGCCATAACTAGCAAATTTATATTCCTTAACATAACATGTTGTTGTTGTTGATTGCCTTCGAGTCGAGCAAGACTCATAGCAACCCTATGACCAAATGGCCTGACGCCTTTCTATAACTATCGACATTTATCAAAGTTCATAGAGTTTCTGGAAGCATGTTGTAGTAGCTTTATCATAGTTGAGACTTCATATATGGTGAAGAATAAATAGCAAAGAAAAATGGTGTATTAGTCTTTCATCTTACTTTAGTGTATGTGTTACATCTAATTAAAAGCAAATCAGAAGCAAAGATATTCCAATCTGTCCCCTCAAGTGGTAATCAGAGTATTCTTGTGGATGCTAGGACTGAACTTCATCCACACATTTACAGACTTGTGTCCAAGACTATATTTGAACTCAGATAATGTCTACTTAGGTACTTCATTCTAACTCTGAGATACTAGGTGACACTGTGAGAGGAGTGACACCAAAATGAACATCTACAACATTTTTGTTCAGTGTTTTAGCAGAAATTTATCATTTTTGATTGAAAACCTCTGTAGTTAGTTATTAACAAAAAACAGTTTTTGGTAGGTTTAGCTTACTGTGTAGGTATCAGGATTCCTACAAAGGTAAAACTCCACCTACTTTACATTTTGAGACTTCTCATGCACTCTGGTCAGAGCTGTCATTATTAATTCAATTTTTCTGATGCTTCAAATCACATTGATGGTTGTCCGCACTCACTGTTTTCTTTGCTGATGATGAGTGTTTTATAGTTAATTGATTTTGTAAAAATTTCTCGTGTTTTAGCTCTAATATTGTGGTACTTGGCATTTGTGAATCTATATTGATAACTTTTAAAAAATTTATGTATTATTTTTTCTGTGTGTAATGTCAAATTGGATCTGGCTGGTACAGGAGGAGCTTGTCCCTCTTTCTCCAGGACAGCGTCTGGTGAATTTGAACCACTCACCTCTGGGATTGCAGTGCAGCTTCATGGCAACTAGGCCACCAGAGCTCCCTCTGATAACTTTTGAGAATGAAAAAGTAATTAAAGAAAAAAGGGAAAAACTTTTAAAACAGTAATTAATAGTTTGGTATCTACGGTCTTTGCAATCACTTGTTATGCATCAGAAAGCTGGACAATGACAAGGGATGATAGAAAGAGAATTGTTGCCTTTGAGCTGTGGTATTGGAGAAGAGTACTGAATATACCATGGACTGCAAAGAGAACAAACAGGTTCATCCTGGAGAAGGTGAAGCTGGGCTGCTCCTTGGAGGCAAGGATTCTGAGCCTTTGTCTGACATACTTTGTTAGGGCATGTTGTAAGCAAGGACCAGTCTTTGGAGAGGGACATCATGCTTGGGAGGGTGGAGGGACAGTGCAGGAAAGGAAGACACTTGATGAGATGGATTGATTCAGCGACTGAGGTAATGGGGGTAGGTGTGTCAGAGACAATAATATTGGCACAGAATAGAGCAGGGTTTAGGGTTATTGTACATAGGGTTGCTATGAGTCACAGGTGATCTGATGGCCCAACAACTAGTACTATAATGCAGTATAAAAAGATTTTATAATACAGTTTTGTTGCTAGTAATCATATTACAACTATATCACATATTATTCTATTACTAAAATTGATGTTAAATATTACTGAAGATTCTGTATAGTATGGTATAGGAAGAGTAGGGGGTCAGGAGGAGTCTGGCACAATGAGTTATGAATTGAGTGACAACAACGCTAATGATGGAAAGGCCAACTCTTAAATTTTATCTCACTATCCCATAGTATCTCTACCACTTAATCTCTTTTTCAGAGACCAAAGCGTCTCCACCGTAGGTTTAATTTAGTGAAGGGATGTTACTGAATAAATAGGGACATCATGCTTAGAAAGATGTAGGATCAACAAAAGAGAGGAAGACCCCCCAATGAGAAGGACTGATAGTGAGTTCAGCAATCGGCTCTATCTAGTGTGTCAGAGATCATGAGGATAGAACAGGATAAGGGCAAGTTACAAGACACCTGTTCACAGGGTCACTATGAGTCATACTCGACTTGATAACCACCTAACAACAACAAAAAAGCATAAATATCAAGGCTACCCTTATGTCCCTTGCTTTTCACTTGCAGAATTAGCATTAAACTAATGTAAATTCAGTAAGTAGCTAATTTTTTTACCTTCCACAATACTGGACTTGGCAAGGTATCCTGAGGAGGCTTTCAGAGCACCACTGAACACAAAGAAACTGGCACCTGTCACTAAAACAGCAAAAGAAACAGTTTAGAGAAGACAGACATCTCCCACATCAACCTCCACCCCACTCCAAGGTGTACAGATTTGGGATAATAACGATAGAGATAGCTCAAGATTCTAACCATCAACATACAGAGCACAAAAAAGTACCAATGCTTTAATGCAATATGCAAATAACCAGTAATCCTGATGTTTATTATAGATTTGAAAATGAGTTTTAGAATTCTTAACATCCCTGCTCTTAGTAGTCATTGAATCCAGGGATTGGCCAGTAGCTTGTTTTTGTAAGTTCAACTTTTACTGGGAAATAGTCATGCCTACTCAGTACATATTAACAATGGTAGTTTTCCTTCTGTCATAGCAAAGTGAGTAGCTGACAACAAACAAGAGGATAATCAAGGGCTGAAATGGTTAGTACCTGGCCCTTCACAAAATCTTTGGCAATGCAAGATCTAAATCATTATTTCTAGATTTTGTTTTTTTTTAAAGAACAATTATATTTTGAAGAAAGACCTATGCTTGTCAACTACTTTATTTTTCCCAGTAGTGTTATTAACCCCCCCATTATTTAAAAATTCCAATTATCACTTCATAAAATAAAGGATATTTAATTAAATTCAGCTTTAAGAAAATTACACTACACTGTCCTTATTTTCTGAATATCTTGAACTGACTGAGTTAATCCAGCATCTAACCCACCTTTCCTATATCCCCTCAACAACATAAGGAGTCCATTCTAGTGTCAGAGTGTGTTCTCAAATTAAGCCAAAGTCTGGCTCCCTGTAACTTTCACCCACTGGTGCTGCTTTAAGGCCTTTTGAGGCTACTGATATGAAATGGAATCTTGTTTCCACGTAATATATAATGTTAAAAACAGAAATAGCTATCATTCCTGCCTTTCAACTTTCATAGTTTAAACAATTACAATTTATTAAAGGAATCTTCCTACGGCCTAGTTTCCATACTTCTCATAGGTTTTGCTCTATGCTCTGGAGACCCACTAGTTTTATCAAGGCACTTACATTAATAATATCCACTACTCATTCCAGTATTTCAGATATGACTTAACTTAAAGGAGCAATGTAGATGTGCCATCTATCTTAACTTTGAAATATTCCTTTTATGTTTCACTAAGCAACTGATGGAAAACAGAGATTTACAGTATGACTACTGGAGAGACATTGTATAAAGGACACTAAAGAAAGCTAATTCCGGGAGATATTTTGAGAGGAAAATATATTCATGGAGAAATAAATTCAGGAATGGGTAAACACAATTCTATGTTTACAAATCCTCTTGAATATTGCGGTAAATGAATCAGTGTGGTCCTTCCATCCACACCTTTCATTTGTGATGAAGTATTTATTATATTAAAGAGATAGGATTAAGGTGTGATAGCCTACACCAGTAGCAGCTTAATAAGCTCATGGAAACTCAATGTGTACTCTTTCCGGGGCACTTGCATATCCAGCTGCACTGTAATTAATAGTCTACAGGATCGCTTCTCATTGCTCAACCAGTCTCTGCGGCAATGGCCTGCGTCACCTACAGTTACATGAGCCATTTTCTTAACAGGTTTAGAGCTTCTGTGAGACCTCTCAGCAAACCACAGAGTCCAAGACAGATGAGAGTGGGGAACTGAACGTAGGACTGGTTAATGTCAGAGATGATGGTATAGCAGATTGGACATTTTTGACCACTGCCTTTCATTAACTAATCTGATATTAATCTTAGTAGAACTGATTATGTTAGTAGATATATATAATATAAATCAGTATATTAAAGGCTCTGGAAAATCTTGTAAACTTAACAAGTTAATAAGCTTCTTTAAATGTGTTTATCCTAGGATTTATCAAATTTAACTGAGCAAGCAGGGATTTATCATAATAAAAACTAAAACTTGAGAAAATATATGAAAAAACAGCATTTTAGAAAATATTTCTCAAATTCTAATGTGCACTTAATTGCTCATAGAAGTTGTTAAGGATGAACATTGTGATTTAGCAGTCCTCAGATAGAGAGTTTCACTTCTAATAATCTGAATGATGAAATTACTTACATTCTTTTTTTTTTTTTGCGCAGTTCTTTACAATTTGCCAGGTTATTTTTCACACACGAAACCTCTGGGTATCACAAGTGCCTTACAAGGTTGCAGGACAGCAGTCTTGGTCTCATTTTACAGCAGAGACAAGGTTGGGAGCCTAAGTGCTTTGCAGCCCATCCTACCAGTGATAATACATTTGTTATTGATAATAAAATCTTCCTACTACCCTGGACAGAAACCAGGGCTCAGACTCTGGTTAGCCAAGGATGGCTGGGGAACAAACGAGTTGGTGGGGCAATCACAGAAATAGTCTGAAAGTTGAGGGTCACAGCAGACCAGGGTCAGGACGTGGTGCAGAAGTCCAGGTAATGAGGTCCTAGGATCGGGATCCCAGGCAGGAAGCAGGCAGCAGAGCTCAGGGAACTAGCCCTGGCCCTCAGCAGGGGAGACCACCAAGCAGACAGTAGGGCTGTGTTTCCAGTCAAGGGCAAGCTGGCTGTTAATACCAAAAGGCCAATTAAGAATGACACTTAGTACTCCATTCTAAAGTAGGGGTGAGCACAGAACACCAGAGCGCCAAGGGGGTGGGGGTAACAGTCAAAGATGAAATGAAGAGTTGTGGCGACCCATTGTGGGGCCTCAATTTACTGTAAATTATCATTCCTTAATCATTTGTGATCCACCCACTTCAGATTTGAGTGTGTGTGTGCGTATGTATGTTTGTGGATCTGAATTTCACTTTCTCAACTGTTGATTCCATTTTGGAGCCATAAAAATAAAGTCTTTCTTCTCTGTAAATAAGTCTCATCTTGCCTTTTTTTTCCTCCCCTCCTATAGTGCTTCTTCTTTCAACTGTAGGTGGGTAAAATACTCATTTTCATCAACTGCTAAGAGTTTACGTAGCCTTGGTAGTGTGGGCAGCGGCCAGGCCTGCCGCTAGGCCTGCAGCTGCTCCACCTTCCCCGGGTCTTCTTTCTGCTTCTCTACCTCCTGGGCCAGATGGATAGTTAAGTCTGTGATGACAGGCACCAACTTCTTCTGCAGCGCCCCCACATCATCGAAGCTGGGGATGGTGGGAGACTGCCACGCACGCTGGGCCATCCTCGTGGGCTCTGGCTCTGGCCCGTGGGTTCCGGCTCTTGCCCGTGGACTCCTGGCTTGCCCATACTATACAGCCATCTTCCCTTCCCGCGTGCCTGCCCTTGGCAACCAGGCTGATGTATCCCGGAAGCGACTTCCGCCCAGGCTGAAAATCTCCGTGATCACAGGTGTGCCAACCCCTCCTGTCTCCTCCTCTGGGGCCGAGTTGGAGGTGGACTCGTTCCTGATCTCCTCCGGGTCTGGTGGCTCCTGCTTCACGCGTTTCAGGACCGGCTCTGCTGCCTTACTGGCGCAGCCAGACAGCAATACAGGAGAAATGACAATGGCCGGGCCAGCTGCCCAGTCTTCCTGGGGATCCATCTTCTCCTGCTTCACCTATAGTGAAACCACAACTCAAACCCGGCACTGAGCTGTCCACCGGGAGAACTACAGCTGACTGTGCTCCAGTTCTGTGTCAAGAGGGTGGGTGGGTGGTGCTGAGGGCAGGATGGGGGCGGAGGCTCACCTGCAATGGAGCTTCTGTGGAAGGGGCAGGGCCAGGAACTGGCACGGGACTGCTTGTGCCATCACGCAGAAACACAAGGTCAGTGCCAGGCGGGGGCAGCACAAAGCCACCTGCCTCTTGCTTCATTGGAGTCTGGACCTGGGCTGGCTGGATTACAGGTACGACAAGGGGAGACTTCGGATTAGGCCCCACCTGGGCCTGGTGGGCAGACACAGACTTCCTTCCACGACGACAGGGCGAGGGCAGCTCTGTTCCATCCTCAGATCCCGCAGAGACACTGGGCAATAGCCGCTTCATGGCGAACTGCAGGCACTGGCGCCAACGGCATTTCTGGCGCTTCTGATTGCTGCCTCCAAATTTGGGCTTGTCACAGCAAAAATCGCAGTGGCCGCAGTCCGATCGGCGCAGGCAGGCTGCACAGGACCCGCATTTCCTGTTCTGCCCCACAACCCGGAGGCAGCGTCTCTGTTCACACTTGCAGGAGAGCCCAGAGCCCGCAGTCCGGGGCAGCTGCAGGAGGCAGGTGGAGCAGGTCCCGCAGTCCCTGGTCACCTGGCAGGCCTTGCACTCTCCACAGCCAACACGCTTAAACATTCTCTGCTCTCGGTTGAAGGCAATTCTCTGTGCTCGGCAGTCCTTGCACAGTGTCTTAAGCCGCTGCTTCCTGGTACCATCTATCATGAAACTGATTCCACAGTTCTCGCAGCACCCAGGTGCAAGGAACGAAGTTGCAGCTGTGCCAGCATCACCCTTAGCTGCTTCTACGGGGGCCTTCCCATTGGCCTCACCCTTCCGCGGCGCGCTCTGACATTGCTGAGCTTTGACTGGCTTTGAAGGCTTTTTCCGCTTCCTTAGGGACTGGGTGGCACAGGATACCCTGCTTGAAGTCAAACAAGGTGAGGTCGCAAGCAGGGCCCAAGTATCGGGTCAGCTCAACTTTGCTTCGGATCCGGTCTCCTGTGGGGCAGCTCAGCGACTGTCCGGTGGCTTCCGCCGCTGTGCGCTCAGGGACCCATGATTTAGAGGCCTGTCTACCCCTTCTGCCTTGTCCTACTCTTCCTCCTCCGCAGCAAACAATCCGAAGCGGTATCTGTCGCCGCCTCAGCGGTTCGTTGCTGCCCGAAATTACTTACATTCTAAGGAGCATTTAACTCAAAAGCCTTCCTTCAACTCCTGCCAATCTATTAATAAACATTCTTTGGGTCTTAGCATTCAACAAGCTCTAAAACTTCCTAAACATACATTATGGTAACTAGTTTCATATCTTAAATATTAATGTAGATCCGATCAAAGATCCTGTGGCAGAATTTTTTCAATGTTTCCCTCGATAAGTATTATAATCTACCAATTCAAGTGCTCACCCTTTCTAGGCTGATTGTGAATACTGATGGCCTGCGTCTGATAGTTTCCATCATCATTCTGTACACATACAAGATGGGAATCTGCTTTCTCATTGAAGCAGGCACCTCCTGCCAGGACATGCTCATTAGACTTGTTCATGGCTTTCATCATCTGAAATAAAAAAAAAAGTTAAACCCCTTCTGCCAAGACCAAGTATTTTGTTTGACAAGGTACAACTTCTTCACTTACTAAAAGACAAATTAATGAAATACTACTTAAAAGTGGCTGAGAGACTAATGAAAACAAAAACAATGTGGCAAGTTATAGACACTTGGGGGGAAAAAGGCAAACATATAAAAATTATCTGAGTGTGTCAGAAATTATGAGGATGGCACAGCAACAACATACCAAAATTCACTGTACAGTTTATAGATGATTTGTGTTAGAACACATATATTCAACACAGTTTCGTTTTTTAAATCTTAATATTGCTGAACAAAATTATAGCTAATTGCGGTACTTTATCCCTATTCACTAGATTATATGGGAATATATACATCCACTTCTCACATGGTGACATAGTGAAGGTGCAAAGATCATGTTGCTTTTGCAAAATCTGGCTTGAGGTAAAAATGGAGAATGACCATACTGGATCACAAAACAGAAAATGACGACATCATTAACTGTCAAAAAACCTGGAAACAAAGCCTAGTCAAGTTGGCATATAACCTTAACCATCACAGCTGGTATTACTGCTGCCTTGCACACTGGTACGTCTTGTTAATCAGCAAAACAGTTGCATAAAGGGGTTTTTTTTGTTGTTGTTTTACACTACTGTTTGTAAATAGGGAGCCTGGAGGTATAAATCCTTAGAGAGTTCTGCTGTTAACCATTAAACTTCTTTGTTTGTAACAACTTGTGCAATCCAATCATTGATTTTGGATTAAATCAGAAACACAAACCCCCAAACTCAAAGGAATCTAAATTTATATTATCTTTTTGTTGTTGTT